GGACTTCAATAGAAGTCGTAGCAGTCGTAGGGTTTTAAGTCGTAGAAAATTGATCAATCACAGTCGAATATGAGAAGAATAATCAACTATAATTGATCAATTTTCTACGACTTAAGACCCTACGACCGTACTTCTATTGTAGACGCATCATAACTCAGAAAGTTCTCATCGGAAAAGAGTTTATGATATATGTTTTGAAAACGTCTCAACATAACCTACAAGAATCTGAAATAAAAAGTAGGGAGTTCCATTTAAAAAAATTAAGTTGACCTTGACGTGACCTTGACAACGCCATTCTAGGTTAAATAACTACTATCGTTAAATGCGTCTTTTTAAGCTTTACAACTTTTGTTTGAAACATTTTTTTCTAAAATGTATCGTTTATGAGATATTTGGGAGTATCCAAACTTTTGGCCCACCCTGTATATGTAACATTTAACGACAGTAGTACTCAAAATTTCAAGAGCGCGTCATTAACATTCTACAATTTTTATTCCATTTTTTGCCGACTTGTACAGAAATTATTTTTTATTTGTTCCAAATCTGCCGAAGTTTACGAAAAAAATTTTATTGTTTCTTTTTATTTATTTACCATAATGATTCCTTCGTCAAATTCTCTGGGGCCCATATCGTGATCCATTAGCTCAACTTCCGCCATATCGACGCTATTATATGCCGGCTTTAAGATACCCTGAAACTATTTTTATAATACATATTATTTTTACTATTATTTTTATCTTGTTACACCAAAAACTCAATGTCGCTAATAAAATAATAAAGATTTTTGAATATAAAAATTTTGTAATTTTACGTAACATAAACGTCAAATTGAGACACAAGTATGCGCGTGCAAAAAAAGTTAAATATGATAATACAATTTAAAGAGCGAAATTACCACTGGTCGAAGATCAGGATGAATCAAGATGAAACCATTGTTCGTCACAATGAAAGCGTAACCGTTAACGCCGAGCTGCTCTCATGGAATTAAAGAGAAAAAGAAGATTGTATTATCATGATTAACATTTGTTATGCTGTCAATTGATGCACTGTGTGCATCATAAAAGCTATAATGGATATTAATAGCATTTTCATGTCACTCTTCTTAATAAAGTTCTTAATAGAGTCATATTCAATGTACAAAGAGATATTTAATCTTTCATTCATATTTTATTTATTATTTTAGTATTGTAGATATTGCTTCATCATGTCGTATGATATGTATTGTGGATTATATTTATCTTTGTAATTTCTGTTTCTAATCAACAAAAAAGTACCGAACAAATGATGAAAAGTAGAGAGAAATAATTAAAAGTGCTGATAAATACTAATTAATTTTAATTTGGGCGTTACTAGTATTTTTGGTTTTAATTAATTTAAATTAACTCTTGTTTTATTTTATAATTAATTGCCAATATTATAGATTTTTATTGTACAGATATTATATTTTAGATGATAATATAAAATATCCCGAACTGACTCAGATAACACAAAGAGTTCAAAAAGACTTCAGTGATACTATCAATTCTGAATTCATTTTCAGATGTAAAAAGAATTCTTTTTCTGAAAAGAATTCTTGTTGCATCTGAAAAAGAACTCAGAATTGATGACATTCGACTGAATTTTTTTTAACTCTCTGTGCTATCTGGGAATACTCTCATCTATAATTTACTTATTGTTATAATTGGTAATGGTAAAAAAAATTATCACTTTGTAAAATGAAAAAATAGCAATACAAAAAAAATTACTCACCATATGTGGAATCATCAATTTCTCAATTTCGTCGATTGGTACGTCCGTGCCGGCAACACCGAGTAGATTGGCAATCATTGTCTGCGCAGACAATTATTGATACGTTAATTAGAGAACCTGCATTATATGTCGCATTGCGTGACGCGGCCTCTATTATATCATGACAACGTTATTATGTCGAAATAAATTATGAATTATCATCATCTCAAGTCGCATAACCAGAAGCGTATCTATCTTCTCCAACAACGTTCTATCACAATGAGTTCGTCTACATAAACACGTTTCCATATATCAAAAAACCATATGTGTGAGAAATGATCACCTCTCGCGTGTGTACAATAATGAGCACGGTCTTCTGATCATTTTCAATGGCAAAAAGTACGTATAAATAATGACGATATGCGTACAATATTTTTGAAAAACAAGAACATTAAGTAAGACTTAACTTGTTTGAGTTAGCGTGGTAATTAATTATCCGTTATTACAAATTTTACAGTGAGAAATAGTTACTGCAAAGTTTTGCTGAATAAAATGATGTTTATTAAAATAATATATATATATATATATATTACAGAATGGAAAGTAGATTGAAAAAAATGTGTTCAAATTATAAAATGTCATGTAAATATTAAAATTAAAGTATTTTTGTTTTTTGAAAATATTTAAAAATGCGCGCGAGAGGGACGAGCAATAAGAGTGTGAATTTCTTGCGATTAGACGCAATAACTAGCTCAACTACTGTTTTAGTGTGTGTGTGTGTGTGTGTGTGTGTGTGTGTG